AGAGCTTTGGCTTAGTCGTACTGCAGACTCTGTGGATGCAAGTGATCTGAAAATCTGCAGTAAGAATAAATGTACGCGGGATACTCTGTTCTAACTGAATATGTCTGTTTGGTGAGTATATTAAAGTAATTAAAAAGGTGAACTGATGTACTGAGTTATGTAGCAGAGCATCATCTGGCCCAAAGCATGTTTCAGCAGAGCTGTAGAGGAGCAGAGCACATGCTTTGTGCTACTTTACCAGCTTGCACTCTTTGTGCGTAGCAAGTGAGGCTCAGGGTCGTCTTGATTCAGAGGCTGTACCTTTCTGTTTTAATAATTTCATTTTTTTCTTCTGTGAGTTTGTCTCATAGCTTTTTAAATGCATGCAAATTTTTGATATCCATAGCTGCTGTGAGAGTATATTTCCTGAATGTGCCCTCAGTTGCACATTGTTTGCTTGTTTGTTTTGAACTGGGATTTTTATAACTTAATTTCATGCCTTTTAACTTTCTCTCCCTCTCTCTCTTTTTTTTTTTTTTTTTTTTTTTTTTTAATACGAAATTGTGATGCGTCAGCCTTTATTCACCTTTTTCATAATGCTTCTATCATACTGGCCCCATAGCAAGGCTATATGTGGTAGCACTGTGATGTTTACTGTTTTGTTCTCTACTCTTTCTAACAGCTCTTAATATTCTATTTTCTTTTCTGATTATTACTGGGTATGCACACATTATTATCAAAGGCTATCACATTTCAAAGATGTTTCTTCTGGGTTGTATTAGCCATTTTGGAATCCATGATTTCCTACACAAAGTTACTATTGCTTTTTGTTATGTAAATACTGACGTTGCACTCATTTGTACATTTCACTTTCAAGTTTATTGTCCATTTCTACAGCATCACAAACACTGTTTGCAGCACATCGCAGAAGATTGTGAATTGAATAACACTGTCATCATAAAATTTTACCACGGTTCTATTTCACTCTTCTGTTTCCCGTATGGAATGTGCAGGCCTTAACAGAATTTTGTGAGACTTCCTGGTAACTTTCAAGAAAATTGACTTTAAATTCCAAAATACTATATTATAAATCCGTGTATTGTTGTTTTCTGGGCCTTATTTTAGGAGTTTTCTATTTCCATTGTATGAAATTCAGATTTAATAGTTCATAGCCCTCAGAAATCCTGTTAAAAATATCCTCTGTTTTAAGTGAACAGTTATACCTCAGTGTAACTCTCTTAATCTCATGTAATGATTTCATTCTTTATTCAATTAGAATGCTTAGTCCTGGTCTTATTGATTTAGTTACTATTCCTTTTGTTGTTTTTTAATCTTTTCTACTGACACTTGGAGACAATGTAAAACAGTCTTTTTTTTTCTGTAAAGGACTCTGATACAGAAAGATTTACAAGTTTGTATTTGCAGAATGCTAATGATTCATTTTGCTTTTCTCTCACAGTTTGATTTTCTGAGTGCTCATTTAATCCCTTTTTTTATGTGTTGGCTCTGCAGAGTTCTGGGAGACTTCCTGTTTTTGATGTTTTTCTTATGATGTGGGCTAAAATGTTCCTTGTTTACAGCAAAAAATGTTCTGGGTTGCTTTGTGACTCTGTAAGTAAAATTTAACCTCATCTAGTTATCTATTTCAGCATTCAATATATTTTAAAAGATAAATTTTATCAAATTTAATGCACTGATATTTTTCCTAGCTTATCTGTAATGAGGTAAACTATATTGTTATGTATTGTTTGTCAATCGCAGCTACTACTTTGTATCACCAGAACAGCTCGAGATAAATTGTTTTTTTTTTTTTTTTAAAGAACCAAATTCTGAATATATTCATGAAAAATATAGCAAAAAAGATATCTATCTTTGTGATACAATTGGTTGGGCAGTATCACAAGTGGTAGAGGTTGGAAATCTGTGGACAAAGAGACCATGGACTAAACATAGATGAAGGAAATTTATAGGTGGGAATTGACAGACTGCGTTGGTTGGCCAACTGCCTCGAGTGTGGTCTTTGAATTAAAAGCAAAAAAAAAAAAAGAGTTGAGATGCCTCTGGTATTTCCTTTAAGAATATCAGGTTTGTAGGAATTAGCGAAGATCTGTTGTGAGCCAAGTTATCGTACTGCTAGGTAGTTGTTTCCAATTCTTGTATTGACCTGTAAATAAAAAATTCTGATCTTACAGATAGACAACATCAAGGGGTCAAAGAAAATGCGTTTATTCTGTTTTGTCCTAGTAAGGATTGGATTGACTCTGGGAGATGGTGTGGCTCTAAATAAGCTTTGAAGACTTCAATGCCTTAGCATCTTAGCAATCTTAGGGAGATTGCTTTTTCTATTACTTTTGAAACCTTGGCTACAGAGATTTTCTATCTATGCTTAGTTGCTCTAATGATTAAACAAAAGCTAATGGCATATGTAAGGGAAAGTTGGTAATTGTTTGTTCTTTCAGATGCACAGAGTAATTGTAATGTACAAATACAGCTGAAGTTTCCAAAATACTGCACAGTTACACGTTTCTGGGAACAACAGCCAGTACTCAGAAGAAAAAAACTGACTGCAGATGCCAGAGCAAAAAAAAAAAAAAAAAAAAAATTTTCTCGTAAAAAAAAAAAAAAAAAAAAAAAAAAACAGCTATGGGAAATTTAATGTTTCAGAGAACACAGACTTTCCTGAAGCTGAACACCTGTTTTGCAGGATCTCACATAGAAAAGTGGACTGAATTAAATTTGTCTTCTGAAAAAGAATGAAAGAGTGAAACAGGCTTCTGGGGATTCAGCCCTTGTTTTTTAAGAACTTCTGAATTTGCCAGTGGTGCATACATGTGCATCCAGATGTTGATGCATTATGTGTGATCTTTGTCTTCAAGAAAAAGAATACAAAAACATTCTAGTTCTCAAGCAGCATTTGATCCTTGAAATAGGGCAGTGCACAATGCTACTTGGAAAAAAAAAATCTTAAAATGATACTGAAGTCCTAAAAATACCTAACTTTGAATTCATGTATTCTATCACAATTCATGCCTGATGCCACATGAGGTTTGATTAAGCATTAAGATATTTGGAAAATGTGTGTGCTATCCCAGCACTGGGCATGTGCTTCTGAAACACTTGAGAAGACTGCAGTTGAACTTGGATTTGTTGGTGGCTTTTGGTTTAGTTTTGTTCTGAGGATGGCAGTTTCATTCATTTCATTCATGGTCATGTCCTCAGTAGTGAGCATATGGATTTAGAATGGAGGCACAGCATGAGAACCTTCTTTTAAACAGTTGCTTGTGTTGTGGTTTACAAGGGGTTCTTAACACTTCCACAAAATGGGAAGCTTGCTGACTAATACTTAGGAATTTTGGAGGAGTTTTTGGATACTAACTCATATGACTAAAACACTCTTTCATTAATTTTGGGAGAAACTATTACATAATGTCAATTTTCTGGATGCGTTTGGCCATTTTTTGTTGTTTTTCATCAGATCGTCACCTTTCACTATTTCAGATGTTACTATACAAATTTATTGTGATAGCAACGTGTTTTGACTTCTGACTCCTCCTTTACCCCTATTGTAGGCAGTAGGCTTCCTTTCACTTGTTTGTGTCATCTTATGGGTGGTGTCTTTTTTCTCTCCTGTGGTTGACATCCATATGTGGTCTGAATTTATATTACAAAGTGATACAGCACAGATTAAATATTTATGTATGTCTCCATACATTTTGTTGGGTCATATAACTGACACTACAATGCTTATTTTCACTCTCAAATAAGGAAAATTAACATTTTAACACAAATTCAACTGTAGCTGCTTGTCAATTATCATGGTGATTCTTCCTTGTTATATTTTGCAACTTTATGGCTGTAGACAGAATTAGTCTGTTTCTCTTTTTATTTTCTTTACTTTTTCTCATTCTTCAGCTGCAGTTAGTTTTCAGTTCCTCCAAAGCAGTATGAGCACATATTTGTATTTTGACTAATCACTTCTATTTAGAAAAAACCCAAAAACCGTAATTAATTAAAATCCAGAAGAACAATTTGAAGATTTGCATAAAAATAATGAGTACATTTTGTGCATTTGGCACAGACTGTTTCATTTGGGTGTAATAGAATCATCAGTGATATAATTCTGTTCCTGAAGATATTCTTTAGGGCCAAAAAAACCCCACCCCAAAATGGATTGTATTCATTTTATTTTAGTCAAAGGACACAAGGGAAAGAAGTGATGTCACATTGAATGTAGTATTAAAAATATGTTCATTTTTAAGTGGATCCTTATTATATGCACGTGCACAAATGCTTTTAACTCGCAATTTGCCTTTACAGTTCCTTTCTGCCAGAGCTGTTGGCCTGTTTTTCAGGCCAACATGGTACATGACATGGTACATCTGAATTCCCTATTTCATATATATCTTAGCACTTTGGTGGTGGTTATTACCTTTCTACAGGCTTTTAAGCCTTAGCCCAAGTGGTCAGAGTGCTCTGCTATGAACAACAGCTCTTCTGAATATCAGTGCCATTGGGTCTAATAAAGTAAGCATTCCTTTTGTCGTGACTTTCAGCTCTTTTTTTGTTGTTGGTTTTTTTTTTTTTCTTTTTTTTTGCATAATTTTGAGCATGTGACAACAGATCAATGAATGCAAACCATGTATAATGCTCAGAACACTCTCATTGCTGTCCATTTCCAGGTACAGGTCAGCAAGCCTTTGCCCACGCTGGATGCCAGGCGGAGACCTGCTAGGCAGAGACCTGCGAGTGAGGCTGTGGGCGCTGGGGGAACTCGCATCCCGCGCATCCCTGTCAAGAGATGCCCTTGGCGCCGGGCTGCTCGTTGGTGCCACCTGGCCTGCAGCCTTCGCGCCGGCACCAGGCCGATGCGACCTAACGCGGCGATACAGGAAGCCCAGCTTCCTCAGCCCAAGAGGAGGAGAGGCCGGCAGGGCTCCCGCCCACGGGCGGCGCCTCCTCCCCCAGCTCTCCCTCCCGTGGGCCTCGTCGGCCGCCGTCCTCCCGCACCAGGTGAACGCGTATCCCTCCGCGGCGGCCGCCCCCAGCGCCAGGCTCGCAGCTCCGCAGTCCCCGGATGGAAAATGTTATGGCCGCCAACGGCGACCCGCCGGGCCATGGAGAAGGGCGAGGTAACTCCGCGGGGTGCGTGGGGCGGAGGAGGGCCGGCCGAAAGGCGGAGAGGAGCGGGCGACGGGAGCTCTCGTAGAGCAGGAAGCTGCGCTGGGGCTGACTTGTTAAATAGTCCCGCGCTCCCCGCAGCCGTGGGAAGTTGGCAGTGCAGCGCGGCTCTGGCCGGCGGCGGGGCTGCGCGTAGCTCGCGCACCGGAATAACGCGTGGCAGCGCCGCCGGCGGCGCCGTGTCCCTCCGCCGAGCGGCGGCGCCGTGCCCCCGAGGTCGTGTGCGCCCCCGCGGCGGACGGGGGCGGGGCTGCCCCGGGGTTGCCCGGTGCTCCCCGTAAAGGGGAACGCGGTCTGGTGGAGCCGGCGGCGGCTGCCCGCGGGTGGGTGCGCGGTGCTGGGGCTTTGGGAGCGGCTCGGGGGCGTCGGGGCAGAGCCGTAGCGGGCCGTGTCCGAGTGCGGTCCCGCTCCCCGCAGGTGGATGCGCGGCGGGCACGGGTGGGGCCGGACGGGCGTGAGGAGCGGTGTCTGTGCTCAGTGCTGGGAGGCGTAACGCCTCGCCGTGACGCTCACGCTGCGCACCTACAGAGCTCCGAGCGGTGCTGGCTGCTGGGGTGTGTTTGGAACTTCTGGGGTTTTATAGTAAAAGTAGATGTAAAAAAAACTCGACCAGGGAGAGCTCTCACTCTCATCTGTTGCTAGGTTGAAGTGTACCGCTAAAGCCTTGCCTCCTTATCCTTTTAAAACAGACTAATACTGATGTACTGGAGCAGTTTTGGGGGAGGAAAGTTGAGGCTTGGGTCTCACGTGGTTACTTGTGCTCCTGCCTAGTGGTTTCTTTCCATATCAGTTACCTTTGGTTCATGCTTACAAATGAATTTAGTACATGTGCTTTATTATCTACATGTTCCATATATTATGCAGGTAATGTTTGTTTTTTCTTTATGTCTTTTGCAAAACTATTTAGAGAATTGTAGTAAGTTCTGTAGGAATGCCCTACGTTTTTTACAATACTTTTGGCTTAACAAAAAATCAATTTTTTTCTGAGTTTGAAGTAATGAAATAGTTGCTGCCTTTTGCTTTTTTTAAGTGACTGTACATTTATAGTTAGAACAGTTAGGAACACTTGAGAAGTATTTTTAAAGCCAATGTTATAATACACCTGATTAGAAGTTTGCTAGCCATGAATTTCTAGCTACAGCTTTAGAATTTGTTCTGTATTCGATGGTGTTCTCTCCTGGGAATATATGTAGTGTACATATTTACAGTTTTCTTCAGTGTTTTAAAAAATGCACTCACTGTGCCATTGGGAAGGATGTGTAAAATATCTGTCCTTTTGTTTCCAGACCACTTTTCAGTATTCCTCCTGACTGTGGCCTTTTCTGAGTCTCACCTCTACTATTTGTGTGGAAAAATGTCTAAAAGGCTGTTGAGGAATTGAAGTCATTTTTCTAATTGAGTAAGTCTGACTTCTGCTTCCATAATGTAAATTTAAAGATCCCTGTGAATGACTGATGGATATTTATTAATTAGGTGTCCCTGGCGAATTAATTTATATGCTGTATTGCAGGTATTTGTCAGTAACTGCGTCCTTCCCAATAACAACAAAGATTCTAATTTGTGTGGTTGCTTGGCTAAAGATGATTTTTGAGTCAGGTTTGAATGTGTTCTCTTGAGCCTCTTTGTTGAACATAAATGTTTTACCCACTTAGGAGAGACCTCATCGGCTCCATGTTAAAAGCCTGCAGTGTATTCCTGCAGCTACTGCATTCACTTGTGATTTTCTTATAGTGTTAATTGTATAAATATTTCATATTTCAATATTTGACAGTACAACAGAATGATAGGTAGCTGCTATCAGGATGATACATTGTTTGATGCAGCCTGTAATTTTCATGTGTTGCATATCTGTATTTGAGAAGTTCTTTAGCCAAGAAGTCCAGGTTGTGTTTTGGTCACTTGTTATTTATGTGAGAGTTTAACTTGCTCCTGTTTGCATAACAGATTTACTGCTGGCAAGAGGAAGGCATTATTATACAGTACTTTTTCCATGAAAATTGAGTATAATGTGGATGAGTTGTTCTGTTCTTATGGTTCAAGCATATCCCAGGTTTTAATCTCCTGTGTGGAAGACTGGAAATGTCATTTATTTATATACATATATACACACACACAAATAAATATGTTTTTTATATATAATGCATATATAAATATATCCTGTATCTTTAGGTTTTAATTTTAGTTTGCAGATATTCATGGCTAGTATGTGTATGTCTGTGGGTTGCAGTTTTTTGTTTTTTAAATGTAAAATGTAGTTAGAATCTTGCATATCTTGTAACTGAAGAACACAGTTTAATTTTAACTAATATTGAATTCTGCATAAAGTGTAGATATGTTTTGGCTATCATTTTCAAGAATTACTTAGAAATGCCGATATATTTTTTGAAGGCATGTAATAAAGCATATGCTTTAAAAAAAAGCAAAGCCAAACACTTGTTTTACTTTTATTGCTGCTGTGATATGTGAGCATGACCTGGAAAATTTTTCAGTGTTCACTTTGTTTCAGTTGGGTACTTACATGCTGAATGTTAGATCCTTCCTTCTCACAGGGATATGGGAAAATATTTGGAAGACCTCAGCGGTGATGTTTATAATGGCCTGGAACTCTGAGGCAGCTCTTGCACTCCATCACAATGAGGGAGATGATGTGATCATTCTTGCAGTTTGAATGTGAATAAGGGAGATGATGTGATCATTCTTGCAGTTTGAATGAATAAACAGGGTGACCTAATGAGTTCCAAGTCTGTGTTGCTTATGGGTGGGCAAGGGAATAGCAGAGAGAAGGCTGCTGATAAGATTTCAGCCAACACTTTACTAACTTCTGCTAGTAAAGAAAAGTGTCACTATTAGTTCTTTATTATGGAAAACTATTTAGTAAGAAAATACTGTATCAGTAGGGAAGAAACAGTTCTTGTTCCTTTACAAAGTCCAGTTGATTTTTTTGGTGCTAGTCTGTTTCTTCTGATTTTATGTTGCCATGTGGGAGTGTTGTTTGAGTAGAAACTTGTGCATTTATTAACTGTGAGTATAGCCTCTAAAGAGAGAGTGATGCTTACCATACTGGTTTGAGCCTCTTAATCCATGGGGAGGTACTGTTGTCAGTCATACTCCTGTTTCAAAATGATTAATTTATATCCACAAACAGTGAGAAACAAAAGCTGACTTTATCCATTGATTGCTTCAGACTTTGTGATGCTATACGTAGACATGTGAAATATTAATTGTGGATGACTGTGATTTATTTATTTGTGTGAATGTAGATGTCATATCTCCATTAGCACACTGGTTTTAAAAGTAACTGTAATTCACTGTGTTTGTTTTCTAATTTCAGGAGAATAAAATGGGAAAGTTGTAGAACACTGAAGATAACTCAGCACAATAAACTTGTTTACTACAGGAAATAAGCCTAATCTGAAGAACTCACTTGAAGAAGAATAATACATATGAAATCATGCCATCTGAACAGGACCAGTTTTCTCATGATAAAAAGCAAATTAATTTGTTAAAACATGATGCTGCAAATAATCTTTGTATGGATACTAGTTTGGAAAATGCACTAGTGAATAACCCTTTAAATATGACTACTCGACCAGCAGTTTTGGATGTCAGTTTCTCCTGTAAACTGAAAAATGTAAAAATTGATTTACCCAAGGTGAACATTCCAAATGAAGTATTAATGAAACATGAAATTGATAAATTCAGAAAACTATTTCAGTGTAAACAGCAAACTGCAAGGAAGTCCTTAACTCTGGAGAAAGTAAACGTAAGCAATCTTGACTGTTCAGGGGGAAGCCACGTACACAATAAAACAGAAGTGCAATTTGGAAAAGGGCTGAAAACTGTGGCTAAGATACTGCATTTCACTTGTACAAAGTGTGAGGACAATGTTAGATACAGCCCAAATGATCTACAAAAACATTTTCAGCTGTTACACTCTGGAGAGTTGCCTGTGTATCCTTGTGAAATGTGTAACTTCTCAGCTAATGACTTTCAGGCTTTTAATCAGCATAGACTCACCCATCGCAGCACTTTAGTAAAGTGTGAGCTCTGTCTTGATGAGCAGATGTACACTTTGTTGGATTTGACAAAGCATTTTACATCAAAGCACTGTGTAAATGGTCACTTCCAATGTGAAAAGTGTGGGTTTTCCACTCAAGATGTGGGCACATTTGTTCAGCACATTCACAGACATAATGGAATTACATATGAATGTGGAAAATGTCATCATATAAGCTATACAGAAGAGGAATTCCAGAGACATCATCTTCTCCATAGCGGTCTGATTCCTTTTAGATGTCAGTTTTGCAATTACAGCACACCACGGAAAGATTATATTTTAAGACACCTTATAGCTGTGCATAGAGACCATTTATGTACAAAAGAAAAACTGGAAAGGGATAAATGTGAAAAAAGAACACTGAAGACTCCAGCAGCACTAAAGCTTGTGTTAAGAAGGTATAAAACGGGAACATCGAAAAAGCCTCTTTGGAGGCGAAAAAAAATAATTGGTGGAAGTGACAAAACTGGAGAAAAAAATTCACAAGTGCTAAGAATTGTGAACAAAATTCAACCAAAATTGGATGAGTTCAACCAGTATATGAAAGTTGTGGAAGCAAATGAAGAAAAGGATCAAATTACATATACTGAAAAGAATTTCACAGGTGCAATGCATGCTGCTACTACTGCACAGTGTAATAAAGCAGAGGATGGAACACGTTTCAGCCTTGGATCATTGAAAAATACTGTTCATGGGCCTGCAGTATTGATGGTCAAAAACAATAAAATATCTGTTCCAGCAAATTACAGTGCTAAATTTATGGGATTTAAAATTGTAGATGGGAAACAACATATTGTTATAAAATTATTACCTACAAATAAGCAAAACTTGCATTTGTTGGGTCAGAAAGCCGATCCTATTAAAGATTGCTCTACACCTCCTTTGCCACAGACTGCTGATCCTTGTAGTTTGTCTTCAGGTGCTATACCCCGTGTAACTGATCAGTCAACCTTTAAGAACAATTCCATTCACCCATTAACTTCTGTGTTTTCTTCTGCTCCTCATTCAGGAAAAGCAAAAGTGGAAAAACAAAATAACTCCTTATTGTATGGTAGGAGTGTTTCTCAAACTGTAGCACCTTCTCATGTAGCTGTAGGAAAAAATTCATGTAATTTGCCAATGAAGTTGGACTCTCCTGTATCTCCATGTGATGAGGTGACAAAAATTGGAACTCAAAGTAATATCTCATGGAGAAATTATGGTCCTTCAACTCATCCTCAGGTATTATCACCTCCTGTTACGAATACACTATGCTATGACCCTTGGAAAATACCCTTCTTTCCTGAACTGAAAATACAAAATGGTGGCCTGAACAATAATCACAGAACTAACAATCTGTATTATTCACCTTCCGTTGATTCTTCTAATGAAGGATTGCTGTCTTTTCATAATTATTCTAAAATGGACACTTTGGATAATCAGTGTAGCGTTTGGATGTCAACAGACGACAAATCTAAAGAATTTATATCCAGCCAAACAGTTTATTTTCAGAAGAGTAATGACTCTGCAAGTTCATATTCAGACTCGGTCAAAGACTTAAAACTGGAGAACACTGTATCAGCCCAATCAAATATTAAAACTTATGGACACATAAACACTAAGAATAATGGTATGTCTCCTAACAGACAATCTAAATTTGTTAGTGACAGGGAATATTTTGTGGAAGACCAGCATAATGGTCAACAATATTTGGATACTAATTTGCATCAAGACTTCACAAGCAAAGCTGGGGAATTCCCAGAAAGTGGATCTGATTGTGTTAATTCAGTTCTAATGCCCAAAATCATGTCTGTTTTCTCACTGCAGAGTGAACAGGCAGCTAATTATTTATCACCTGAAATAAACCAATTACTACAAGATGTGTTAAAAGTGAAAGCAACACCTCAGCAAGAATCCCACAGCAAGTTGAATAACTGTGTAGAACTTCATTCTGACAAGCTGCTTTCCAGTCAAGAAAAAGGGAATAGAGCCTTTACACATTTAAAAAACTCAGCAACCACATGTAGTTTTCCGAGGCCTTCTACTAACGCTGACTTTCATTTATGTAAGAGGGAATTGAATACAAGATGTAGCACACATGGAGGTATGCATTGTGGAGAAGAGAGAAAGATACCCAGAACATACCTTGATTCCCAGGGAATGGATGTGTTATGCAGAACTGCAGATGGTGCTTTGCTTAAAGATGATACAGATGCATTTGTAACAGAGCGACTGGTAAAAGATAAAATGCAGTCTACAACTTCAGATCCTACCAGCTTTTCACCAATCCTTCGGGAACAGAAGAAAACTGTTTTAGTTCAGCCACCTCCATCAAGATTTTTTGTTCCTTTGCACCTTGCTAACCAGCCTGGACTACAGGTTGTTTCAGGAAAATCTCTTTTGTCAACCAGTTCATCAGATGATCATGCAACGAAACCTACGTCTTTTGCTTTAAATAAAGGACCTGGAATGATTCTGACTTTTAGTGGGTCAATTGGAGCGGTTGCAAATGTCGCTAGTGATAGTTCTCAGGTTTTAGGCAGAGTTGCATCCAGAGAATATGGTAAAATAACCATACCAGCTTCAAAAGCGGATGGGAAGCATGACAGTTTTGGAAGTGTAAGAAGTTGCTGTAATAGGAGAACATATAGTACAGCAAATGACTCATTAAATAGCATGTCATCCAAAGGACCACTTGTAATTACAAACTTATCGGAGTCATCTGTAAAAAGAACTTCTTCTGTGAAAGCATTATCAGAGCATCAGGATGTTGTCTTTGGTTCAGAAGAGTCAACAGAACAACAGGAGATGAAACAGAAACAGCATGTTTATGCATTTTTGCCTGATGGACAGCAGGCAGTTTTTCTGAAATGCATGACACCAAACAAGCCTGTAGTACATAAACGTAGTGTTTTTCGGGATAATGCTCGTTATCAAAATTGTCAACCAAAGAAAACTGGAGTCATGCAACAAAAGCTTTTGCTGAAAATTAAGACTTCAGATATGCTGGCTGAAACAAACCGGTCAGTAAACAACTCAGTGCCCTCAGTACAGTTGGGCAGCTTACAGTCCCTTACTCCTGCACTAGCACAGAAACAGACTGATCTTACTTCTAATGATGCCTTAATCTTACCGGGTAGGTTAATGCCAGCAAATGCCTCTTCGGCAAGTTCTAATCCAGTGTGTTGTATTCCTTCTGTAGAACCTGTGTATTCTACCAGAACTGCAGGGTCATGGTTGCAAAAAGATTTTGTTGAGAGTACACAAATAATAACTGCTAACAGGAATAACTTTTGTAGTCAGAAGTCCTCATGGAGCACCCAAAACAGAATTGCTAAAGGAAAACCTCGTTTAAAACAGAGTGGGCCTAAGAATTCAGAAACTGTAGTTTTGCAAAGAAGCAAGAATTTCAAACGGAAAAATAAGGATAACTGCAAAGAACCTCCAAGAAAGAAAGTAGTGTTGCACAGAAAGTGTAAGGAAAAGAATCGAGGTGAAGTCGTCAGTGAATCAGGTGGCCATTACAGACAAAGAGCATCAAAAGATACTGTGAGGACTTTGAAACTACTTCCTTTTAATTCTAAACAGCTTGTAAAATGCCCTCGGAGAAATCAGCCAGTTGTTGTTCTTAACCATCCTGACGCTGATGTTCCAGAAGTTGTAAATGTAATGAAAACGGTTGCTAAATTTAAGGGACATGTTCTTAAGGTCTCATTGTCAAAAAGAACTATTGAAGCTTTGGAGCCAGCTTTCTGCAATCATTTGGACGTAACTACTGATAATCTTTTTCAAAAGAGGCACAGGACAATAAAACCTATTAGCCCTGTAAAAGAAAGGTTTGTGTTAAAATTGACACTGAAAAAGACTAGCAAAAACAATTATCAGATTGTGAAAACTACCTCTGATAATACCTTGAAAGCTAAGTTTAGCTGCTGGTTTTGTGGTAGAATATTTGACAATCAGGATAATTGGGTAGGACATGGACAGAGGCATCTGATGGAGGCTACTCGAGACTGGAATTTGTTAGTGTAATGATGACCCATACCAATAAAATATCATGCATTGGGCCTTTTTAGAAAGAGATTCAAATTGAATTATGATACACAGATTGTTTTGTATTTCAGTATTGTAACAAGTTTAAAAAGTAAAGCAAAGTGCTTGTGTTTTAAAAGGAAAAGCAGATTCTCTGTTGCCATCAAGCTTTTAGAAAGATTGAGGAACTTTGTGGTTTAGGTAACTTGTAACTAACTGCAAATACAATTCCATACAAATATATATTATTTTTTGTTACTACTATCCTGTCCTATATTTTTATTCTATGAAATGAGTTTTCAGGGCTTTTGTTCTGTACATATTTTAAAAGATCTAAACTTGTAAATATTTTTATACTTTTCAGCTATTTGGTATAATTCTTGCACAGAAATTATTCCTTCCCCACCACCTTTTTTTTTCTTTTTTTCTTTTTTTTTTTTCAGATCTGTGCATGCACTACTAAAAACAATTTGGAAAAAAAAAAAAAAGTTCAGCTACACACAACTGTTCTCCAGGGATTTTTTGTTGTTATTTTCACTTGTTAACTCCTGATTTTGTTTTTCAGGGATTGAACACTATTTTTAGCAAGTGCCTAGAAGATGTGAAGCAGTTAACATTATGTCAACTGTGTAACCATAGGTCCAAACAGGGCCATTTCCCCAATAATTTCATTTAAACGAAGCCATATGTGAATGCTTTAAGCTATATTGCTATGCACATGACACTTGTACTATTTCTCTGCAGTTTGTCTACTTTCTTAGTGAAGTATTTTTCATATAAATTAATAAAATGTTACAATTGTGTTAATACAGTGAGCGTGAGAATGAAATCAGTTGAAAATATACAGTATATATATATATATTCTTAATGTATATGGTGTTTCAGAATGGTGAACATTCCTAATCTGTATTGACTCTGTCACTATTAAATTTGCTATAATTTGTGTTTACAAGTATGACTGTGAACATTTATAGAAAATACTTTTATTTTATTCTGTGTCTGTCACAGATCCTATAGGAAGGCTAATAGTGCAAAGCACTATTTCAGGCCTGTAGCCATTGTAATTTTATATATAATTTTTCCCCGTAATGATTATGTGGTATTTTTCTGCTGTTGCTTGTTCAGATGAGCTGCCTTTTGTGTTGCCAGAGATTTGGCAAAACCAAGGCTTCAGTTATTCTGTCCTTATTTTAATGGTCAGTAGAGCAATAGTGTTCCCAGGAACCCAATTGCTTCATCTTTATTGTTTTAGAAATAAAGGAAGGAGAATATGCTTCTGGGCCATGGTGATGGAGAGTATACAAATGAGGGTTCTTATTACTCATGGTGTTTACTATATTTGGAGGTGAAATTCAGACTTATGTGGGAGTGTCCTTAGCATATGGCACCTGGTATTTTTGTTAGCCTTTTCAAGCAGTTTAGTTCAGAGATGGAGCAGTTTACAATTCCCAGCTTCCCTTGTATGTGATGGTGTGCCTCATCATGAAGCCCGTAGGACATGACCAAGGAAAAGCTAGAATAACTCTTACAGGTAACATCTGCAAGGTCAGATGGATGATTTTGAGGCTGTTTAGAGTGATGAACTGAACGTTGACGTTGAACTAAACATGCTACGGAAGGTACTTTTATTTATCCAATGTGGTCCAGATTTTCCCTTTTTGAAGAATACAGGCAGTGTTTAATTAAAGCCAGCTTTATGGCTGTCAGCAGGCAAATGGAATTGGCAGTGGTTGTTCTGGCTGCGTAACTGAGTGCTGTGCAGAACAGCAGTGATAGCGTAGTCACAAAATTCTGCCCAAGGGCTGCAAGGTTACATGTTGTATGTGTAAGTCAGCTTCCCAAAGTATTGATGGAAAAAACTGTCAACATTGACAGTTACTGGTCTTGGAGAGGCCTGGATCACGGAGGCTTTAGGTTGTATGCAAGTGCAATTGCAGTTTTCAGTGGCTGTTAAGGTAAAAGTCAAGACTGATTGTGCTACCGCTGAAACAATGGCAAGTCTCTTAGGGATGTCACTGGCAGCAGAGTTAGATTTTTTGAAAGAATTACTTCAGTAGATAGATTCTTGCTGTGTGTTGGCAGGAAGATCCACTCTAGCTTTGTAACTAGTGAGATTTATATGGGAGTCAGCTGAAGTACATGAGACAGCGTGGGTTGGGTGCAGTTGGTGTGTTTCCTGTATCAAAGTGGGCTTGTTTTACAGTGGTGGGCTTGAGTTCTGATGTGAATTTGGGAAGGAGCTTTTAGAAATCTATTTTACTGTTGTTAAAGTGTGTTAGAAATAAACACCAGTAGGAAAACACAAAAAAGAAGGTAAGAAGGACCTTCTAGCTGCTTCAGTTTGTTCTCCTGTAGGAGAGCCTTCACACTGAACCCCTGAATTCTAAGCTTTGCCATTGCCTTTCTGGGAGAAATATCAATGAAGTTTGTTTCTAAAATGCATTCACTGCAATTTCACCAAGGGTAAGCAGTTTTTGTTAATAGTTGCATAACACCAAGATAGAAATTCTGTTCTACAATTAGAGGGTTGTTTATATTGATTAATCACGAGAGTGACAAATGTGATTGGATTTTGTTTTTCCGCAGAACCTTAAACAATATCATGAAAAAGAATACTGTGATGTTAAAAATGCTGAAATAAGGTTGCTTTTTGCAATCTTAATTCATTGTCATGTGTCACTTTATCCATGGCCATCCATCTCATTTGTTGCAGAGAATTGTGATTAATATTTTGTTTCCCTACTCTTAGTTAAGTCTTTGCATAATTTAATGCATGTTGCCCAAGTGTTCTGAATATAGAGCCCTTTCTCTCTTATGACTTTTTCTATAATTCTTCATTTGAGGTCCTAAAAGTTTGGTACTTTTGCAGATCTGATTTCAAGGAATCTCAAGTTAGGCTTCCATGAAATTATGGTCACAAAGATCATCAGCAGAAAGTTGGCTTAAGCAATTTGAGTATTGCACTGGATGATGCAGCAGTAGATTCTCCAAAAACATGTTTAACTGCCTTAATAATACGAAGCTACCTTTCAGCTGGCTGACTCCTGTGGTATTTGTTTCCACATTATCTTCATTAAATGGGAAAGGTATCATACAAATGTCCTACAAGCAACATTACTTCCTTATACAACTGTGATTTATCCTGAAGTACCATACAGGAACCAAATAAAATACATAAATCCATATGGTAAAGTAGTAAACAATTGCATATTTACTGTGTATGTCTGTTTTACACAATTAAGGTTGCAAGTAAACTGTTTTGAAGAGTGCTGCTTTTTGCTGCTTGACTTTACAAGCTATCTTAAAATGTTTTGATTGCAACATGTATCAAAATAAAAAAGCCTTAACTTGGGTACAGAATTTTGAAACATATAAATGAATCCAAGTGCAAGGTCAGTGTTTTTCCCTCTGAGGAAATGCTTTGTAAATATATATTTGGCCTGAAGTCTAGTCGCTTGTGTATTCTTTGCAAGATGTGTGCTCATTAGCAGATCATGGCTACTCTCCTTCAGAAATTTCAATGTTTTAACAAAAAACTTAAGTTCGGTATTGTTCTGGGGCTGTTGTCATGTGAGATGTCTTATTTTTATTATTTTAACGACACTTCCTAAGAATCTGTGCCTGCTGCTGGTGTTTTAAATTGAAGGAAGAATATAGTTTTGTAAGTTGCATGTCTGAACATTTGGAATTTGGAGGATGCAAGTGCTCCTTTCGTGGAACAACACTGATAGGAATAATTTGCAGTATTCTGTATGCTCTCTGTATCAGGTAGGCATACAACACTTTTAACTTTTCCTTTGTTTCTTTGCTAGTCACATAACGTCAATTGTTTGGAAGAAAAATTATGTAGTCATATCAAAGATGGAGAGAAGTTTGTTGCTGCGTCTGTCAGAAGTCAGGCTAACACCTGCTACCTGATGAAACACCTGCCAACACTAACTATTGGCAGCTGTGGGTACTTCACCAGCTGTAGGGGAAGTTTTCTGGGGCAGGATTTCACTTGAGCTGCCACTTTCAAGATTCAGCAGTGACTGCTGAGTCCATGTCACTAGAATTTTTAACATAGCAAACTTCATCATCAGTTACTCTGTGGAAGACGATGTTGCCTTCTTACTCCCTGCCTCATCTTGTTGCTGAAAGTGTAAGTTACCCCCATAACAGTGTAGAAAATGGCTAGGAATAAATAAGGGTTTGCAGATGAATGTAGAGTTGAATGTTTATCCATAGCACATTTATTATTATTAATCATCCACAAAATTATGAAGTAGTGCTTGGAGCTCACTGGCAGTAGGAGCATTGCTTTGAGTATAGGAGGGACTCAGTATCACCAATTACCCTGAAAAATCTGGCATTTGCTCTCTCAAAAGGAAGCCTATCGTTCCATTTTTTTAATATCCTTTTTTTCCTCCTTTCTAGAATGATGGTGATGTTACACCTTATAATCAGAAGTGTAGGAAGAATGTAAGCACTTTTGGAGCCTCCTTTTGGAGGAGCGTTATATAGATGGAACAAGAAACAAACTGGTGTGTTAAGAACAGTGTAAATAATGTGCAGTAGATGAATGAGTAAGGCAAGGACTCCCCCTGAACACAAAGCTAAATACTGAAAGAGTGCTTTTCCACAGAGTATTTTCCATTGTCATTAAATGCTCCCAGAGTAAACACCTACAAGGAGTAAATTAAGCTTGCAGAGACCAATGTTTGTCTTTTGTTAATTCTGAGATCTAGACTTCACAGTCTTAAATGTTTTAAACATTATACTAGTTATACTGGTTTAATTACTGTCACCTGAGCAATATACTGAACACAATGTGTATGTAAGACTGTAAAGTAAGTGTCCTATAGCAAGCAGACCTGTGAAAAGTCTGTATGCATAGTTTCTTACCTGCTGGGCTCTCATTTGCATCACAGATGGAATAAGTATTATCTGTGTTGCAAAAGAGCATAAACAGCCAGGTGCTGAACATCACCATATTAGGAAGCAGTTATTTCTAGATGATTGGTGCATTACGTGAAGGTGTTGCTCAAAGCTTCAGAGAACCAGCTGCATAATACTCTCTGTGTAAGTGACTTTTTGAGACCTTGCAAGTCCATGCTGAAGTTTGCCTCAAATGCCTTGTGGGTGAACTTAAAGAACACTGCCTAATTTGGAAAACAAACGAACAAACCAACAACAATGTTTCAATTTTGGAAAATATCTGTAAGATAGATGAACTTGCAGGTCAAAGGAAATCAAACACCTTTGGAACTAATTAACCATTACTGCTAGGAATTTTTTTACTAGAGCGATTATGTATTGATAAATTTCATTTTAACTACTTGATCTTTTGTGAAAATGACACTGCTGTCAATAATGCAAGAAGTAAAACACTCTGATAGATCAGGCTTTTTTGTTATCTCTAAATTAATTCTGCAAGAATTGAGTTGGTATTTAGTTTGGCAATGTGTTTGGGCCTCCAACAATAGCTTATTTAAAGACAAAAGATTGAGAGCTATTAAGTCAGATATCTGTGTTAAAGCTGTAAAAACAGTTGTTGTAACAACAGGAGGCTTGTGAAGGAGCTCAAAAAAATTTATATAAGAGACATCCACGACAGTGAGTTGATGCTTTTTCACTAGAAGGATGCTAAGAACTCATTTAGCAGTGCTTCTGTACACAGTTGACTTTACAATATTTAACTTTATTTGCACATTTGAAAAAACAAACAAAAATATTAATGAGAGAGTAAAGCTGAAGGAAGGACAACATGTCCATTAATCTAAACCATTGACAGCTTTATTGCTTAAAGCTTTATTCATGTAAAGTACAGTCCCATTTCCAGCTTGTACATGGCAGTACATTAAGTTCAGCTGCTCTTATTTCTGGGGATGTGCACTTTACAAAGAAATTACTGAGAGCAGTGATGTGTGGTAATCTTAACAAATGGAACAAGTAGACCACTGTGGATATTCTCACTTTTCAAGTGAGAATGTCCTAGGGGAAATACATCTTTAAATAGCAGTCAGAAGACAAGGTTGTGGTACGCAACTGTTCACCTGACTTTCAATACCCATGTTGTCACAGGTGGAAGTCACAGATGACCATGTATCCACTTTGTTTCTTGTATTAAGTAGGCTTTTTTTTTGTAAAGAGACAGAGTTGGACTTGAACTGCATATCTTACTGTTCAGTAGATGTTAAAGAGTATTTTCCATCACTGTGGATGTTCTTCTTTTAAACTCCTGATCCACACGGTTTGGGGTGTTGAAGCAAATGATTAAAAAGTCTTCATCTCAGCATCTCAGTTTCAGTTCAGTTAAGAAACTCTTACAATATATTTCAGTTTTGTTGAGTCTTTTGTGTTGTTTTGGCTGTCAATTAGAACCAAGGAGGTATGCTGGTGATTCTCTACTATTTCAGCAACACTGTCAAAACGCTGGATAGAGAAAACAAGAAATAATTAGTGGTATCCTTTAATGTTGTAACATTGACAGTAATTATAGAATCATTTTTTGTCCCTCTTCTCGCAGCATGGAGGAGAGTGGAACTATGACTGTTACTGAGTGAGATGTTTTGCCTTTTGGTAAGAGCACCAGTCCTGCTCTCAGTCCCAGTTCCAATAGTGGACAGATTAAATTTGGACAATGTAAGATAGAGCCAGGGCTGACATCACCTCATGCTCCTACTGAATGGAGATTGCTGCCTGCACAAGCTGAACCATAGAGTTTATTACATAGCATATTAAACAGACACCGCTTACAGCTAACCTTAATCTGTCAAGCTACACACTGTGTAGCAGTTTGGGATTTGCTTTATTTGGCTGCCTCAGTAAGAGCAGTGGACTCTCTGGAAGTAATACGGTGCAGATGGCTGTCGATGAGCGCTGTTTCAGTTATGCCATTTCAATGTCAACCACGATGAATTAACACCCTGAATCTGCTAGGCCTGTTGATATTCCTTTTGGTTTCCATCCAAACGGGACTATCTTTCTTTTTACCTTCAGGTCATTTTTGACTCTTTGTGAAAGGCCAGATAAACTCCAGGCTTCTGAGTTATTCTGTAACCTAAGAACTGTTGCCTGTGAGGCAGATAATTAGGCTGAGGCAAGCGTGCTCTCACATGCCTGAGAAGCCCCTCCTGTGTGGTGATGACACACAGATTTATTGGTATTTGAGCTCCAATTCTCTATGCTGCTGTTAGAATAATTTTCTGTGATTTTTGCATCTGAATATTCTTTATTTGAAAATAGAATTAAAAATACAGTTATTTTTCTTTTTGTTAGTGGCCCTTTATAATTTTCCAAGAAACTTTAGAACTAGAGTCTTAGGTAGAAGGTGATTAGATATAGCTGGAGGATTTATCTAGTAACTGCAGTTCTGATCCTGATAACTTTTCAGAGTAGTTATGAGTATGCTTTCAACTTTATCTGTGGTTTTAATTAATTTTAACATGCAGGAGCTGATGTAAACGATGTTTTCTCTAGTTTCGTATACTTCAGTCACAGTGCATGAAGAATCCTGTCAAGTCATACAGCAACATACTTCAATCCTTGCTTATTAAAGATAGATAACTGAACAGTGTTAAGAAAAAAAAAGAAAATCTCACCTCTTCACCACATTTTTCTCTTCCTAATGCATACTGTCTTGTTGATTCAATAAAACGTATAGGAATGTTGTATACTCTTCTGTTATAAAACACAACCAGTGTGTATGGTTGCCTTGAATCCTGTCCAGAACTCTTTCTTATTAGGAAAGATCCATCCTAAAGAAAGAGAATATATAAGTTTTAAAAAAAATGTTGTTTTTTTTTGTTTAAGCTTAATAGGTTGGGTTTTTTTGTTTGTTTTTTAATTTTTTTTTTTAAATAATTGTAATAGCATTAAATCCTTTTCTGTCATTAGAAAAAAAATGATACAGCAGGAAATAGCATATATTCCTGGTGTCTAACAATAGCTTTGAAAGGTTTAAGAGTGCTCTTTGCCTCCTTTCTCTTCCTGTTAAGAGAAAGGGAGAAGAAAAATATGCAGTGACAGCAGTCTGTTGGATTTCATGCATTATGAGGAAATGAAGTTACTGTCAGTGGCAGTAGGTAGAAAAGGGAACAGCAGAAGTGTTTCTCCAGAGTTATTGCTACTGGCAGTGTAGCCCAGTGCTCACTAGTTGGCAGCAACCTATGCTGGTGACAAGCCCAGTACTCTATCCTGCTTTGTGAAGTGAGGGAGAAGAAAACTCAAGTGATGCTAGGGATGCACCTCTACATGTTACTAATTCCTTGTAGACAGACTAGTTGAGAGCAGGACTCATTCTCCAAATAACTAAAATGCTTAGTGCTATCACATCAAAATACATCGCAGCATCTG